AAGTGTGTGTTTGAGAGAAAGAGAGAGAGAGGAGAGAGATCTAGATGAAAACATCCATTGGAGGCAAAACTAACAAAACTAACATAACATGAACAGATAACATAGGTTGTAACTTGTATTTATGAGTATGGTATAACTTGGCCATTTTCTCTTTTCACATGATGCACAATGTACATTGCGAATAAACTTTAAATTACTGAAATTCTTCAAAAATAAAATGTTATAGTGAAATGTACACTTTGCACAGGTACTTTTGAGACATAACGATTAAAGAAAAAAAGAATAATTTGGACTCAGGACTTCAAGAACGCTCTAACAAGAATTTACTGTATTATTCATTGTCTTGCGGAGTGGCATAAGTTTCGGCCTTGAGGGGATGGGAAGCAACAAAAGACGTTACTGTGTCATGAACTCACACACACACCCACTACTTGCTCTCCCCTCACTGTTTCATTGAGGTCCATGAACTTGCGTGTTGATCAGCTCTATGCAGTGGCGGTGGGTAGTGAAGGGCTCACGGGCTTGAGCCCCTACCCCCTCTCCAACCACCACCCCAACTCTATCCCAAAGTAAATGAAAGTTTCTTCATAATGAAATAAGCAGTTGAAACCGTTATGACCGCACGGAATGAACACAGACCCTTCCTCTACACAGGCTCAGTCTCCAGGCCCCACACAACAGCCGAGCGACACTGGCTAGGCCCTTGGTCTACAGATCTCGGTGAGGTGCAGCGTGTAGCGTGGCGGAGTGATCTCAGAAATATTGGAGGAGAGAGTGAGGGAGAGAAATAGAGGCCTCAAGACTACGTCGTGGGCACAGTTTCGAGCAGAGAGAGAGAGGGATGTGGTGGCAAGGCACAGTGCGCGCTACTGATTAACGTAACAAAGACACGCTCGTACTGACGATTCACAGAAAAAGAGACCGCCGTTATTTCTGAGGAAGGAAAAAAATCAGGGTGAGTTGATTATGTTTTTACAAATCGTCCACTTATTACATCTTTACAATCTAAGAGAAAGATGGTCCGGTGTGTTAGGGCTGTGCACGCGCACGCATCATGTAAAGAGATCAGAGTAGGGAGGCTTGTGCCTTTGCTCAAAACACGCTGCACTGTTCGTGTACGGGCGAATTTTGATTTTGAAGAGAGAGAGAGAGAGAGAGAGAGAGAGAGAGAGAGAGAGAGAGAGAGAGAGAGTAACACACACACACACACACACACACACACACACACACACACACACACACACACACACAGAGAGAGAGAGAGAGAGAGAGAGAGAGAGAGAGAGAGGCTACACAATGTGAATATCAACATGTTCTTAGAAGTTCCGTTTGTGGGTGAGATCACCATAAACACACATATGCCTGGGGGTGAGTCTTAAGGTTCGTAAATGTCACGTAAACAAAGCACCACACGAAAAGTGTAATCTATGTTCGTGCCCTGGAGAAGGTGAGCCTACCCCCCCCCCCCCCCCCCGGCACCTCCAAACTCCCAAACCCATTTCCCCCCCTGTGTTTCTGTTTAGATATATATATATATATACATCTATATATATATATATATATATATATATATATATATATATATATATATATATATACATACACCTTTCCAGCCCAAGTTCAGGTGCCTATATTATTATTATGGCTAGCTGTAACTGAAAGGGTCTTATACAACAGGATTGATTCAAGAAGGTACAAAAGTGTAACCAGCATGGTTTACTTTTATAAAAGCCCTCCCTTTCTCCCTTTTTGTTACAGTCAAGGACTAATAAATTGATGTCATATCGACTAATAAATTGATGTCATGGGGGGAGGGAGTGAAAAAAATCAACTGAAATGCCGAGACCACAATATCAAGGGACAAAACGAAATCTTTTCCACTGTTCATATTTCAATTTTCGTACTCTAGTAAAACTAGATTAGTGACAACAGGAGTAATATTTACTCACTGCATTAATCATTGCATGTATGTGCGCACATGTGTGTGTGTGTGTGTGTGTGTGTGTGTGTGTGTGTGTGTGTGTGTGTGTGTGTGTGCAAGTGTGTGTTTGAGAGAAAGAGATAGAGAGGATAGAGATCTAGATGAAAACATCCATTGGAGGCAAAACTAACAAAACTAACATAACATGAACAGATAACATAGGTTGTAACTTGTATTTATGAGTATGGTATAACTTGGCCATTTTCTCTTTTCACATGATGCACAATGTACATTGCGAATAAACTTTAAATTACTGAAATTCTTCAAAAATAAAATGTTATAGTGAAATGTACACTTTGCACAGGTACTTTTGAGACATAACGATTAAAGAAAAAAAGAATAATTTGGACTCAGGACTTCAAGAACGCTCTAACAAGAATTTACTGTATTATTCATTGTCTTGCGGAGTGGCATAAGTTTCGGCCTTGAGGGGATGGGAAGCAACAAAAGACGTTACTGTGTCATGAACTCACACACACACCCACTACTTGCTCTCCCCTCACTGTTTCATTGAGGTCCATGAACTTGCGTGTTGATCAGCTCTATGCAGTGGCGGTGGGTAGTGAAGGGCTCACGGGCTTGAGCCCCTACCCCCTCTCCAACCACCACCCCAACTCTATCCCAAAGTAAATGAAAGTTTTTTCATAATGAAATAAGCAGTTGAAACCGTTATGACCGCACGGAATGAACACAGAGTGATCAACTGGGCGGCTTGCTCGCTTATCCAATCACTGTTGTCCCCGCTTACAACTATAGTAACCCAGCAGCCAATCAAATGTCTTTAGGGCTCAGCAAAGACGAGCCCTTTTCCCACAGTCCGTCCTTAATGAAACTTTTCTTGTAAAAAGGTAGAAGACTGGGAAAAAATAACAATGTACCGCGGGCTCACGCTCTCCTAGCCCTGACAATGGGGTGAAAGTTTACGATACACTTTCCCCCACAGACACAGATACCTATGCGCTCATTGGTTCTTTGTTGGGTGCGTTCAACTTTCTCGACTACACGGCCTAATGCAGTAACTCATAGAAGTATTATGTTTGAAGTGCTGTGTGTGCATGTTTGTGTTTGTGCTGCTGAGATTTAACAGTTATAACTTTTTCATCACACGAAAACTAATTAAAGGAAATTTGGAGGTGAATCGGCTTCGTCCCCACCATCAACAAAAATTTAACTAAGAACAAAGAGATTGAAAGCAAAGGCAACTCTTCTCGTTTTAATGGTTATCAAACTGCCGTGGCTCGCCGTGAGTATAGAAAAATCATCACTGTTTAATTCCTTTTGCTTTCTATTTGGTGGTAAAAAACTGGAAGAAACCTAAGCCCCACCCAAATTTTGGTCCACCCACTGCCACACTGGCTCTATGTGATTAAATTTTTACCCATTAAGTATCACTTGTATCTAAACCACAGTGAAACATCTGATGAAACTAAAGTTTAGAAAAAAAAAAAGAATCTAGCCATTGCATACTCACAGCAGGAGGTGAAAAAAAAGGATTTCAACTCAAGCGTATTTATGTTTGAGTTGAACCCAAACATAAATGTTTGATTTATAACAAATGAATGTAAAGGACGGCGAGGTGCTGTGACCTGAGAAAAAGATCAACTCAAGCGACTTCAACACAAGTGGAGTCAAGTGTAAAAGTATTTAGTAACATGAACAAACTTGCATTAATTTATAAATCTTTTTACTTAACATGGCTTGGAGAGAGCTACTTCTGTAGTGTAACAGATAAGCACTTTGGTGTTGCACACGGAAGACCTGTTTTATGTGGGGAAAATTTTTATTGAGTGTCTCCATCTTTCTCCTGGAATGTTGTATCCCTCTCAGCCTAGATTGGCCTAGATAGGCAAAGTCAAAGCAGCCTGCCTCCTAAAGGATCTAATTGGAGTCATGGGGGTGCGGGGTGGGTGGGTGCTTCTATTTTTAAAAACCAAATAATTTTAGTGGCTTAATAAGATTTTAAATACCAAATACATTCTTAACCTGACGTGTTCATCTACCTAAAGTGTTCACTCAGTATTGTCAGAAATAGCAACTGTTCATGTATAAACCATGTGGTAAATGACAAAAAAAGCAAAAAAAACCCCAAAAAAACCCTCACGTAGTTGTGATAGTGGAAGGTGGAGAAACTGCTGCAACTTTAACAGCATTAATTTGTAGGGGTAACAGAGTTGTCTCATGGTCTGGTTGCTGGACAGAGAGCTGTGAGGGTGTGGTTTTACATTCTTTTATCTTCCACAAAAAGACCACTTTATATAAATGTTCCTTTTATATATTCAACCAAAGTGAGAAAGGGTACCTGGCTAAGATTATGAAAGATAAGGGCTGTGGCGCCAGTCTACTGCAATGTTTCTGATTCAGCTGATGTTCTGCCTACAGAATGGTCTAACGGCGGATTTAGATGACAGTCTACCAGTTTATACAGGCTTGTGACTTGTGATAAGGATCAGTTTACAGGTTCTGTGTTGTAGGCTTGTGACTGTCATTGTAAATTTAGCAACCGAGTTGCCTGTAGGCCCTAATGATTCAGCGCTGTTTTTAAAACTTAATTGTTTAGTCATTTGTGCTGTATATATATATCTCCTGATTATTAACATTAGGTTCAGAGTGACTTTCTTTTCCTCAAGAACAATATCAGAAGAACAATTATAATTAGCGCGCACTTCTATTCGATTATGATACTTGAAATGTATTATAATCCATCTCTTGACCTGTCAGAGAAAGCATTGCAAGAAAAGTTTAAAGGAAGGGACACAACTCATATATATGCTAAAAAACTTGTAATATAGCCTATGGGTTATATTCCTTTGTAAAATTTGGGGTAAAAGGTAAGAATCATTCTGCAAAATCATTAAGGATGAGAATAAGTCTAAAAATTAAGATGTCATCAAATGTTTATTTTAAAAAGGAAGAAACATATTCACCTTCATCAGTCAGAAGTAAAAGACCTAAGCTTCTGATTTGTATCAAGGAAAGATACGAAAGGTCACTTTTGCCCTCATCCTTTGAACTTGTAGTATGACCTTTAATTTAAAGCATGCAATATCAGAATATTGGGTTACAATCAGAATACTAAATATATATCAAGTTTAAGACTATTACTGTTAACAATCATTATTGTCCATTTATATTATTATGCATGTGACTGTTAGCCTGTTTGTGAGGGCAAGCATACAATTATATTATTATCTTTATGTGCACGGATTTGTATGGAGGAGAGAATGTGTGAGAGACTGTGTGTGTGTGTGTGTGTGTGTGTGTGTATGTGTGTGTGTATGGGTGTACGAATGTATGTGCATGTTCATGTGTGTGTGTGTCTGTGTGCCTATGTGTGCATGTGTGTGTGAGTGGGTATGTGTGTGTGTGTGTGTGTGTGTGTGTGTGTGTGTGTGTGTGTGTGTGTGTGTGTGTGTGTGTACGAGGTGAAACACCAAAGTAATGTGTCAGTATCTGTACAAAAAAGTTTGATTTTATCCTATATATAGGGCTAAAATTTTTAATTATGGCTGATACCATTAATACATCCTGATGGATATGTGAACATTTTCTTTTATTCTGTAAATATGCCTATTGCTTGTTCATATTGCTTGTTCAAGGTCCTCTTGTAATGTTAAGAATTTTTTTCCCTTGTTGCTGCAGGACTACCAGCCTGAGCAGTGAAAGGTCTTCAAAGAGATAAATATGACAAAATCATCTTTTAGCCCCCATCAGAACTTGGATGCTCCACGCCATGGTTATGAGCCATCAGATGAACAGGAAAAAATGGTCATGATGCAGGACAAAGTGTCTGGCCTAAATTTACCAACAGAAAAAGAAGGTGAAATGAGATCAAATGCTTTGTACAATGGTGCAAGTGGAGAGGAGGTGTTCATCACATGTCCGCTCAACTCATCTTTGGAGGGTGGGGAAGAAGAGATGGAGGCACAGCATGAAGCCAGGCACAAGTGGGGAAGAAAGACGGAGTATGTGCTGTCCATGGTGGGCTTCTGCGTCGGGCTAGGAAACGTCTGGAGGTTTCCTTATGTGTGCATCAGAAATGGAGGAGGTATATGTCCCCTTCCCATTTATATTATTTTCTTAGTTACAGGCAGATTTTGCCCAAACTCGGTATTGAAAAACTTGTTGAAAAAGGATAATTCACCCAGTTCCACTGTGGCTTGTCTTATGGTTGCTATGATATTAATATGAATTTCAGTTTAATAAACAATGCAAATAGAAAAGGTTATACCCTTGAGTAATGACAAATAATAATAAATTGCTTTTATATAGCGCATTTCCACTAAGAAGTGCTCAATGCGCTGTACAATAATACACAGAACATATGCAGTGCACAGCTCCTACAGTAATCCTCTTTCTCTCTCTCTCTCACTCTGTCTCTGTCTCTGTCTCTCTCTCGCTCTCTTTCTCTCTCTCTCTCTCTCTCTTTCTCTCTCTCTCTCTCTCTCTCTCTCTCTCCCTCCCTCCCTCCCTCCCTCCCTCCCTCCCTCCCTCCCTCCCTCTCTCCCTCTCTCTCTCTCTCTCTCTCTCTCTCTCTCTCTCTCTCTCTCTCTCTCTCTCTCTCTCTCTCTCTCTCTCCAGTACGTCCTTGAGTAAAGACAATCTCTCAAAGCTTACCCAGAAACACTCACACACATTGATGAATTCACACAGTCATAAATTCTTACAGAACAGAACAGCATGAATAATTGATACTGAGAGAACATAATAATAGATACTGAGATAACATGATATTTGTATTGGGAATGTCGGAAATTACAGATTGAAACTGGACTGAAACAGATGCATTTTAAGTGCTAATTTAAATTTTGATAAAGTGGTAGACTCCCATAGATGAGCTGGCAAAGTGTTCCAGAGGGAGGGGGCGTGGTGTGAAGAAGCTCTCCCTCAGAGTCTCTGACTTTTGTTTTGGACAGGTCTTAAAAGTCTTTTCATCGCCGATCTTAAAGGCCGAGATGGTATATATTGGATGACCATGTCACAAAGATATGATGATGCAATGTTGTTGATGCACTTAAAACAAAGAACAAATATTTTACACTGAATTTGTGCTTTTTCTGGGAACCAACGTAGTTGAATTAGCATTGGTGTTATATGCTCTTTGAGAGATTTCTTTAAAATTATGTGAGCAGCTTGGTTCTGGAGTCGCTGTAATCTATTTAACGTTTCAGTGGGAATGTTTCCAATCTATGAATTGCAGTAGTCTAGACGTGAAAGGACAAAAGAAGAGATGAGGGTTTTGATGGAATCAACACTAAGATATGTTGACATTTGTCCTATTCTGCATAGTTCTAAATTACATTACTTTACATAGATGGTTTATCTGATGGTGCACAGAGAATTTGCAGTCGAAAAAAAAGCCTAAATTTTTTGCTTTATCTGTGAAAAAGATGTTATCATTCCCAATACATATATGGTCAAAATTGCAAAGCAATATCCCTGGTTTGGCATTGCAAAACAGAACTTCGATCTTATCTTCCTTCATTTTAAGTCTGTTTGATATCATCCAGTTTTTTACCTCCACAATATATTTTTAATGGCTTGTGGCAGCCACAAATCTGTTGACAGCAAGATGTAATGGGATATCGTTCTCATTTTGTAATATTAGCTGCAACTTGTATCCAATATGAAAATGGTATCTGTACATTTTGATTCTTTAGAAAAATTTCACCTTCAAATTGTTCTTTGCTTTTGTAGACTTGAATCACTGGATTTTTTTAAAATGGCACTTTAAAAGTGTTCATTGCTATTGCACAAGTAAGTTTCTCTGAATAAGTTGCAGTGCTGATTTGTGACTTGTAAATGTGCATTTTTTATTCCCCAGGAGCGTTTTTGATCCCATTCTTCATATGTCTAACCTTGTGTGGCCTTCCCCTTTACCTGCTGGAGGTCTCCATGGGTCAGTTCGTCTCTTTGAGTCCTTACCATGTGTGGAGCATCTGTCCTCTCTTCAAAGGTATCCCAAAAATTCTTTTGGAGCAATTGTGATTCATATGATCTAATTTTTGTAAAATATTTGAGATAGAGAAGAGTATTTCTATTTCTCAAATTTCCTTTAAATTAAACACTTGCCAGGTCTGTGGAGTATCCATTTTATTGCACCATAATTATTCAATCACAGCCATGTTATTATAAGGCAGTATGAAAACAGATTATTTATCTATATTGTCCAAGCAGAGACAGATCTACCTCTGCTCTGATGTTTTCAAAAGAGTTTTAAAAATATGTGAAGTAGAACTGTAGTCTCTGCCTAATCATGTGCTGTCTGAAAGCATGCTTATTTCTTAACTGCTTATATATCTTCACACACACACACACACACACACACACATACAAACACACATACGCGCACACGCACATGCACACATGCATGCACACACACGCACACACACACATAGACACACACCCATACACACACACACACACACACACACACACACACACACACACACTCCGACTCACACATACACACACTAATATCTGGTACACTCTCGTCTTATATTTTCACCTCAAAAAGTGAACTGCGATAAACTGTTATTTTTGCTACAAATTAAGATTTGAGTTTACACACTTTTTGTTTTTTTCAGTTATAGGCGTAAAGTTTAGCAGCTTAAAGGGTTTAGTCAAAAATATGTAAGGTTCATTAAAAACACGTTATTAAACTTTTAAGAAATGATGTGTTCAGACTATTAAAAAAATAACACCTGTAACTGCATCACACACTACTGGAATTCTTGTGTTCACTGGTGATTATTCCATATGTTTATTTATCTTGTTATGTAAGGGGACATTATAATATTGGTGTTAATGAAAGAGATACCTATTTGTTCTAGTCTGAACTAAAATTAGAATGAAACGGCTCTATCATTTCATCCCCCCCCCCCCCCCCTTTTCAATTTCTGTTCCAATAAGTTACAAAACCCAAGAACAGCAAGACAATTTTACTGCCATGCTGAAAAGAAAGCATGCTCTTTACATGCTTTGTTGAAGATTTAATGTTGAGGTAGGCGCACTTGACTGTATTTGAGAGATAAATAAGAAAATAACTTTAAAGTGGTTGCCTTTTTTAACAGATTCACGAAATTGAAAGCAGCACCTATGTATTTAGGCAGAGACCACAATCTGAGTGTTCTCTTTGTGTTTGCACATGCTATTGCATTGTATAAACCTGCAATTTCCAAAGCTATGCTGAATACGGGGTGCCCACTACGGATGTGATCGGCCGATCGGGCAGATCGCCTGATCGGGCAGATCGGCCGACTCGATCGCCTAAAAAACGAACACTGTTTTCAGTTTCAGGAGATCAAGTCGGGCGATCGGCCCGACCCAGCCATAGTGGGCACCCCGTATTAGACTGTAATGGGGATGTTTTAGATGCTCATACAAGTTGTGAGATTGGTTTGATAAGATCTCTTGGTGTCATTAGGGTCATTTAGTTGAATTGTTTGGGTTGAAAAAGCAAAACTGTTAAGAAACAAAAAACTGGGTTCTCTGTCCTGTAAAGACACCAGGCATTTAAAATTCTGTGAAGAGGGTTATTCTAAAATGGAAATGCTGATCTGTCCCATACGTATTATGGTAGACAGCTCGTTGTTTGTCAGTCGTTTGAATTTTATCGTCTTATGGATTGTTGTATGTAGATGATGGTCACATCATGCTTTTATCTCTGGGCACTCATGGTATGTTAACCATTGGTTTTTCCAGGGAAACCTGCTGACCCTCCCTACCCTAATCTTTAATATAATTTCTCGTTGAAGGTATGTGCAGCACCCAAAAGAATTTTGGGTGTCAACTTGTCAATTCTGGGATTACAAAATATTATGATATATGTTTTAAACATAAAAATGCTTTTTATGTTTCTCTCTGAACACTTTCATTCTCATTTTCAAAAGCTCTTTAATACAATTTTATGTCATCATCATAACAATCATCATCTTTGTTTTTCCCTGCAAGATATTTTTGTGTGGAAGCCCATTCAGTACACATTGCTGTCACGGCTGTGCTGCAAATTCCTGCTCCTATTGCTTTGTTCTTCTTTCTCTCTTTCTTTGATATTCTTCTTTGCTTTCTAGCTTTGTGTTTGTCTAAGCTTCAGCTTGATGTGTTTATAAAAACCTTAATTTTAGTTATTTATTTTGCTTTGCTGAGGAATCAAACATTTCTTTTCATACTTTCATTTTTGAAAGACTACTGTTTCTATAATGTGTGTTTTTTGCTGCAAGTACATGAACAACATGGCTTCTGTATATTTCACCAAAAGTCTGAAATCTTAAACACCAACAAAAGCCATAAGATCATCATTTGTCAAGGCATTTATAATAAAATTGTCTGATAATCATCAATAGGGGAGAGCGATGAGGCTTCAGACACAGGGTGACTTTGGATGCGAAGTCCTGCTACACTATTTATTGTACACACTTTTTCACTGGACGTTATAATGTGTCAAATGAAAATTCGCATACTATGTACTTTTGCTGTCTCATTGTGTGAAACTTTGTGTCTGTTGTGAAGAAATTGTGTTTTCAACAAAGGTGTATCTAAATATTCATATCTTAATTTTTAAGTTGTGCAAGTCATAATCTATGATTGAGGATCTCTTTTAAGTACCAAAGTCATAAAATTACACACCAAGCTTTCATGATGTCTACTTCAAGAGCATGTTTTCTACACTACCCTATGTAGGGAGCTTTCCAGACTGGGTGGGGTGACTGTATTTACTGTCCAAAGTCTCATGACAACTTATGTAACAGTAGTGGGAAGGAGAATTACTATGAAAAAGTGAATTTAAGAAAAGTATTCTTGTGTTGTTGTTGTATTTCCCAGGCTGCAACCAGGTCAAGGAAATATGAGCCTCCCAAAGAGAAAATATTTTAAATTCAGAAAATATGAAACTCACCATGCATGCAGTTGCCAATAACTGGTTGTCCTTGTGTCACGCAGCAGCTATGTACAATGTAAAGAAATGTACTCTGAAAAACTGTTTAAAATAGTATGAGAATATTTGATGAATTGTTCAGGGATGTTCTTTGGTTTGTCCCCAAAGGCAACATGCTATTAAGCATATGAGTACACAATGGCAAACAATCTGAGCCTGATAAAAAACATAGCATATAATAAACAAATCGGCCAGAAAAAGACTACTTATCTGGATTCATTAACTGAAACAATAAACGAAGCATTTGAAATCCTGAACCCACAACATTGGATTGAATGACTAGTTTCAATCAGTACAGTCCACACCATTGTGGAGAAACTGGAAAATGATATTCCAAATTACAACCTCAGTGGAAGAGACATAAACAACCTAGATAAAATAAAGTTCTACATACTATGTGGTACAGAAAGTTAGAGAAAGTCCAATAAATCAGATCATAAGCAAGAAACGAATGAAAAGAGTTAATAAACCACATCAACAGAAGAAAGATGAGCATATCACAGTAGTTGTCTTCTTCTGAGCAAATGGAAGGGTCCTCTCACTTTCAGCAAGTTTCCCTTGATGAAGATTTGATGCCAACAGAATGAAATTACAAACACTTCAGGGTGTTTTGTATGATGTGATGTGGACCAATGGCCTTAAACACTGAATAAACTTACTTACTTAAAACCATGCCACCATCCTTTGAGCCAGATGATGTCTGACAAGTTTATCAAAGTTTTCTAAGACTTTGCAGACAAGTTTAGAAGCAGAAAAGAAAAGAAAATGCTCTTAATCATGGACAATCATGACTCTCACCTTTTTGTCGAAGCCTTGGAGTTAACTATGAAAAATGGAATGGTCATTTTAACTCTCACTCCTCATATGTATAACAAAATACAATCCCTGGACATAAGTGTCTTTGGCTCATTCAAAACCTAGAGCCAGACAGCAGATGACTGAGTGAGTTGCAACCCTGGACAGGCAATCTCTTTTTTTGAAACTCCCACTTTAGTGCAAACCACAAGGGAGGCTCAAAGCCCACCAAAGCAAAGGCTGGATCCAGAGGCATTGGAGTACACCCCTTTCAGTGGAGTGTCTACGCTGGGGATGATTTATTTATGTCCTGTGTGTCTGACCACCCATAACTAGAGACACAACTGGCACCATCTTTGTCAAAGAGTTCCACAATTATTGCCACTCAAAAATGATATTGGATACACGAAATACACTGTCTGAAGTCACTCCCTTTTGTGTAAAATTTCACCCGTGTTTATGAGATTGTCTGTGCATAGTGGGGTGTTTTGGACATCTTAGGGTAGTTCAGGTTTTTTTCCTTGGTGCAGGAAACTGATATCCCTAGTGGTGATGCCCAAATAGCCTCAGTGGTAATGAATGTCTTTTTTTTTCTTTTGCCGAAAATTTTTGTGGACTTTGAGCGGTGGAGCCAAACATGTAAAATGTCCAAAGCCTCGCCGCTCTCCCCTTCTAAAGGTGAAAGCATTTAATAATGGTCCATTGGTTTGGAATAAACTGCCAGAGTATCAAAGAGAGGCAAACTCATTGACAAGCTTTAGGAGGGTGTTAAAGACATCACTTGTGTCTGCCCACGTGTGTTTATGTATGTGTGAGCACACGAGAGAGGGAGGCCATGTTTATTCTTGTGCTTTTGCTATTGATGCATATTATTTTTGTTCTCAAAATTTTTACTGTTAATGCATTGAGTATTCACAGATTGAAAATGTGTTTTTATTGTGAACACTATTAGTATCATTATTTCCAATTTTATTGTTTTTGTGTACCTCATTTCAAAAGTTTGTGTTTTACTCAGTGATGTAGAATAACTCTTGAAAAAATTGTCAAAGATTTTTTATATCTCTTCCTCTTAACATTCAACCCTTTTTTTGATATTTTATATTTGTGGGATCGTCATTTGTTGAAGTTGTTGAGTCTCAGGTTTAATAGCAGACTTCCTCTTAATATTCAATTCATTTTTGGATTTTATAGATCTCTGAGATTGCCATATGTTGAAGTTGCTGAATTTTAAATGTAATGGTAAGATAGCACATAGCATTTACCTCATTATTTGATGTCGTGGTTACTCCACCTCTGGTTTTGTGGAAATTTCCATGATTGCACCTACACAGCTCCCTTTGTTCAAACAGGAATTGGGATCTCGATGAATGTCCTGTGCTTCCTGTGCTCCTGGTACTACAGCATGATACTGGCATGGTCACTTATCTTCCTGGTCAACTGTTTCCGTGACCCATTGCCATGGACAGTGTGTGGGCAGTGGTGGAACTCACCTAAGTGCATTACAAGACACAATGTCTCTTCAGCAAGTGCCGACAATAACTCCAATAACTCCTCTTACTCGTTTGGACTCAATAGTACTGCTTCCACTCTCTTTATTGAAAATGGTACGTTTTTTAACTCTTCTGTGAACAGTACGACAGACACCACTGAGAAGTTTGTGGGAGCCAGTGAGGAGTTCTGGATGTGAGTAGTTTTTTTCCTGCGTGATATTAATGGACAGTTTAGGAACTGCCAGTAGTAAGACAGTTATTTATTATCTTTAAGTATTATAGTGTGCAGTGTTTTGTATTTTCTCATGTTATGGTTGCTTTTAATCTAGCATGGTTGTTTTTGCTTTTACCCAGAGTTGTGTAGCAGTAATGAGTGTGGTTGTTGCTATTGAGAACTCTATGATATACTGTCTGTTTTTTTACAGTGAAGGAAAGAGAAGAAGTGATCTTTTAGGTTCCTAAGTGTGAAGCAGTGAAATAATGCTCTCTCTTTAAAAGAGAATATATAAGCTAAGAAAAGAAAGAAAATATATATGAGGAGGTTTTTATACTGGACCTGCCATCTTTATTCATATATATATATTAGAGCAACATATTGGTTATCACTTGTGAGGCAGCATGGTGAAATCAGGCACTCGTCAAAATAATCAAAATCAAAGTGAAGAAACTGACATTTTTTCGCAGGTTTGGATTTTTCATCGGATTTTTGTTTTTCGGCTCAACTCCTTTTATGCCCAATAAAAACACATTTCAGAGTGGATCTTACTGAAAAAAGTTGATTAAATGCTTAAAAGTTATAAATTTTCAGTTTCACAGGCTCTCAAACTATGGAAATTACACAAATTTTGGTGGCCATTTTCTTGCTAATTTTACCTCTGAAACCAGGCAACCCCACCTTCTTCAATCCCAAAAATCTCGACTTGTATCCAAGATAAATGTGTATTATTTTAATCAAAAGGAAGGAAAATGGACAGACTTTAAAATGATACCAATAACTCTAAATGCCCAAAAAATTTACCAGCACCTGATTCCACCTCGTCATGTCACATTTCCCCTGTTTATGAAGGCTGTTATGGTAATTCTTTATAATACATCATTTATGTTCATTTTGTGGATTTTTGTTAATAGACAAAATTCTAATTTTCTTTCAGTTCTTTTTGGTTTTGTCAAAGTTGAAATAATAGAGGCTTAACCTTTGACATATTTACACATCAATGGTGTTATCTGTCCTTGTCGTTTTATGCAAGAAAAATTCTGAAATTATGCAAAATGAGCCCTAAAATGTGAAATTTTGCAATTCTGTTAATTTTAACAAAGGATGATAAAGGAAAATAATCAGAAATTATGCACAAAAAAAAGATCAAATTTTGCTAAATTATGCGGGGTGCATAAAACCAAGGGGACAGTGTTATGCACATCAATGGTGTTATGTTTTATTTGTCTGAGTGGTTTCTTGACAATTTTCCTCACCCAAACAAAAATAACAACTCTGATATAAGTGATGTGAAATGACAGAAGTTAGCGCTCTTATACTATTTATAGTGCGTGCAGACTAGTGATACTGGTTATTGAGGACCCACTGATCGAAGTCAGTGATGAAAATTCAACCAAAAAAATTTGACATATTTTTTCCAGTTACTCTTTCAGAGCCACCTCGAAATGTTCCCCTTTTATTTTTCAGACGAAATGTTCTCCAGCTGTCTGATGGTCTCCATGATGTTGGTAGTCTTCCTTGGCAATCGGGTGTAGCTCTTTTTGTCTCCAGTGTCATTGTCTTCCTATGTATTGTTAAAGGCATTCACTCATCAGGCAAGGTAGGCAATTAACCTTTCATCTTGGAATCAGGTGTTGATTATAATTATAACGCTTTATTGTTTTCCTGTCCCTGTTTTGAAATTATACAAAATACTGATAAACTTGATGTCCAGCAATTTAACACAGTGTATGATGGGTTATTTCTTTTGTTGTTGGTTTTAAATTTTTAAAAAAGAAAATGTTAGATTTCTAGAACTGATTTGTCTGCTTTCATTTTGTCAGGAAGTTATAATGCAATAACAATATATAACTGTGCAACTTGCGACTTGAAAGTCGTACAGGTTAACATTTCAATCACATAACCTCTCTTTGTTATTTTGCATAATATTTAATATATAATAAGACCTTTCTCCCTTTTCCTTTTTTTCAGGTTGTGTATGTTACAGCTACTTTACCCTATCTGCTTCTTGTCGTGCTTCTTATCAAAGGTGCAACATTACCTGGAGCAATGGATGGTGTCATCTTTTATCTCAAGCCAGACTTCAGGTTTGGTTATCATTTAATAATTCAGTGTCCATTTATGAGAGAGAGAGAGAGAGAGAGAGAGAGAGAGAGGGAGAGGGAGAGAGAGAGAGAGAGAGAGAGAGAGAGAGAGAGAGAGAGAGAGAGAGAGACTATCTGCTTGTCTGCCATCCACCCATCTTTCCCTCCTTCCCTCTTTTCATTTTTTATCTCTCCATTTTTCTATATTTATTGTACAGTCAAAAGTGTCACAATACTCCAGTGATGCTCAAAATTCCTCTGTGTTTCAGCAAACTGGGTAACCTTCAGACCTGGGTTGAGGCAAGCGTCCAGGTTTTCTACTCTCTGGGACCTGTCTGGGGTGGCCTCATCACCATGGCCAGCTACAATAAGTTCAACAACAATTGCCTCAGGTAACATGTCAGTTTGGGATACAAGATTATAAAAATGCTTCTGATTGAACGACATATACTTCAAGCAACATATGCGCTTGTTATTGGTAGCTTGCATGTCTTATCTACACATTAACTCATTCGAGGCCCAGGTTTTGGAACAGATTTGCACACAAGACGTGCGATTTCGGGTCAACTTTGAAAGCCTGCCATTATTTTCCCTTTTGATATTTTAAAAGTTTTTTGTCACTATCTACACATTCAACATTTGGACTTTGCCTCAGATCTAACCCAAATTGTCTGGCTATATATTCCTAAACTTGTCAGGACCCCTACAAAAATGGTGAGACCAAAATTTAATTTTCTTTCCCTCTAAATTGACAGTGAAGAAATGCAGAAACAAACAAGATAAAGTTACATGACAACAATAATGCTGCTAAAAACACATCACAACACAATTTACAGTCCAAATACTGTGAAGAATTAAATAGTTCCAGTCACTGTGAATAGTCCTTCTTTGTATTGTACTCCTCGAAGATCTGTGTTCTTTGTCGCCTCGACTGCCTTCACAAAGAGCCACCGAAAATTACAAAAAACTATGCTGAAGGGTCACAGGTAACTAAATACAAAATAGAAATGGCTTAGCAATGTCAAACAAAAGTTTGTTCCCTTGAATACCTTAATTTGTTCTTCTACAACGGTCGAGAAATGCTATCGGACGATGCGTCTCCAGCGGAGCTCAAGGCTATCGGACATTGTCAAATGCATCATGAATGAGTTATGCTCATTTTTTTTGTTTTGTTAAGATATAATTCTGGGAACAAGGTTCATAACCAGTCTGTGTCATATTTGAAAGATAGCATACTTTATGAGGGAAAGTTTGCGCCTACACAAGTATTTTTCTTTGTTTGCTCATTTTATGATAATAGTCTCACATGTGAAACCAAAGTGTATGAAAAGATATGGCTAGTGAGAGTGGAGGTTGACATATATTGCATATTTTGAAAGAGTATTTTCTTTCATCTAAAAAAAAAAAAGAATATAAAGCAGCTCTACTTGTGCTCCAGATGGAACTGAAAATTACTTGCTGTGTGGGGGGAAGCTTTTTTTTCTTGTTTTTATCCCAGTTTAATGCCCTACTGGACATGTAGATCATTTTTGAAGGTAGATTTAAAGGTCAGAAGAAAGAAGAAAGCCTGAAAGAAAGGCTTTTCAGCCCCTTCTCTGTTGCTTTCTAAATTTATTTCGTGGTTCTGGTTTATGAGGGTTCACATGAGAGATGTGTGACCTCATGCAGATCAACTAGTGATATGTTTCTTGGTATTGCTCAACTGGAAATTTTAGTTCAAAATTATTTTTACTATGTCATTATTTGTCTGCTGTTGTATTGATTTCAAATTTAAGCCCAATTTATATTTGTTCTCTGTTTGTGCTGTGTAATTGATAATTATAGTTCATCCCTCATAAACTGATGTCGACCTTTAACTTTCAAGGAAGAAGAACAGTTATTGACCTGTGTCTATAGTATAGGTATATTTTGGCAGTTATTTACTTCTAACCTGAAGGTGTTATAAATTAAACTTCAATTATTGCAATCTTACAAAGGTAAAAGTCATAAGGAGTCCAAATTATCTTCTTTAGTGAGTTATCAGAGTCAACAAAAAAGTTTTACAAGAATTTCTATGTCTATCTGCATTGTTTTCCTTCCTTCAAACATTTTGAACCACAAACTGACTTGAAAATATGCTTCTAATAAAAACTTCTTTTTTTGTTAGGGATGCTGTTATTCTTTCTTTCGTATGTGAAGGCACCAGTGTCTTTGCTGGCTTTGCCATCTTCACCATCCTAGGACACATGGCACACAATCTAAAGGTACCAGTCGCCAATTTCTCTGACACAGGTGAGGATGGGTCTGAATCCTATGAGTCTGTGGCTCTGAGGCAAAGGTTTTTATGTACAAAACGTTTTGGAAGGTAAAAACTTTTGACTCTGGCCTTGTGTTGTGTGTAAATTTGTAACAGGGTTTAAAATGAATTCTAATGTTACTGAAAACTTAGAGGAAAGTAAACTGTCTCAAATGTTTAGAAATTCTCTATTGTGGCTTTTTTCATTATATTGCTATATGTTTTGTTTTTCTCACCTTCTTCTCTTCTATCTATTTAGTTAAATGTTTTGAATACTCTTACTTAAAAATGCATCATTTATCACCCAAAAAAATAAGTAGGTTTTTTTGCCCAATACTCCTTAGCATTTTCAATTTGTGTTGATGTTTATTGGAAACTAGCCGGGCCCCCTTTTGATGAAAGGAATGATCGGTGCATTAACAACTGAAGAAAGTCATTGGCCTACTATATTTACACTCTACTGGGATGGAGCAATAAATCTTGAGAGAAAAGTGACACATGTGTTTCCAAGTTGCCAAATATGTAATAGATATATAGATTGATTCTCTATTCCGCTTTTGTGGTTGTACACTCCATCATTTCAAAGGTGTGGAAACAGTGCGCATGGCTAGTGAATCGAAACCTCTCTTGTTTATAATGGCGTCTTAGAAGACAGACTTTCCCAAGATGAGATCTAAACGAAAATAAGGAAAAAATGAAAATTAAACTACAGTGACTTCAGGCTCCTTAATGAAACTGTGCACCCTTTAAATGATTCTGAACCTCCTTTTATTTTGTCAAATTTGAAAGTTAAGTAGTTCGGAAGTTTTAGGCCGCCAAAGTTACCAACTTTCACAAATATAATATATAGAGATTACTATATTCTGGTGCAATAATTCATTGCAAATGGACTCAATGGGGAATAGACCTTCAAAATTGTGTCTTTCTGGGTATAGTTGTAGGGTGCTTCATTAGCTCATTTGGTATCAGGGTAGACTACAGAGCGGATGGCCCTGGTTTGAATCCCAGACAGGGCAATCTTGAACTTAGTTTGTTTTGCATAGTCTTAGTTGTTATTAACCTATTCAGCTCAGAGAAGGATGTACTCTCATACCGGGAAAAGCCGAATGACTGTCACAATCGGAGCCGGGAAAAATAAACTTAAGGATGTTATCGGATTTGGTTTTCAAATATTCGATAACTTTTATCATTTTTCGCGGGTCTTTCCTGAGGCAATTTACAGATTTTCTCAAATTTCCGTGTATTGCTGATGTTGATCCAACCATTTCTGTTGGGAAAAAATTCCCTACAAAAATCCAACTTATCCGACCTAAACAAAAATTTCCGACTTTCTGACTTCCCTGGACACCGTGCAAACTGTCTAAAAATATGTTTCCCGATGCCATAACACATTTTCATAGAAAAATTATTTTGGTTAGGTGTACTCAGTCATTTAATAGTACGCCTTTTTCCACACTCAGTTCCTAAAAGAGATAGAAGGTTAGATCAAGATCGACTTATAGAGCAAATAGCTCCTCGATCAGTGATAATTATATTCGACATCTAAATCATTTTCTTCTTGATCTGAAGACTTGTTATCTGAATAACCAGGGTCATTGTCAGAGTCATTTATCACTTCATCATTGTCTGCATTCATTTAAATTTGTCAAATACTTCAAGTTGAGTGCAATTCCTTTTGAACTCATTTGTCCCTTTTCACATTCAAAATTGCTTAAAATTTAAAGCAAAATATCTAAAGGGAGCTTATTGATCGGTTAACCCAAACGTGTATATATTTGTAGAAACTTCAATTGGCCTTTGTTTAGAAACTAGATAACTTCGCTCATAAGTAGACTCATCCATAGTTTCAGAGAATCAGTTTAGTTTCGGGTTTTGTGATTATTCTCGTCCTGTCTGATGGGCCTTAAATAACCTTATAGTGTTGACAGGGGCATTAAACCTGTACACTTACACTTTTTTTTTTGCATAGTTGCAATAAAAAAGTAGTTAAATAATTTGGATATGGCTGTTATGAATGATGTTTCATCACTAAAAAAAAATTAATAGTAGGAAAATGCTCAAAGTAAATCTATTTTAGGGTATGAGAATCATGTTTCCTGCCACAAATGGTAAAGCTGATTGTGCCATATTGTTGAAAACCCTAACTCTTAACCATTGTGTTTTATACAAGACTCACGTTACATGACACAAAAGAAAATGTTTCTGCTGATTTACCCCTCTTGTCTTATTCCACTTCAAGATAGATTCTTGTAAGCCTCAAGTAAATGATGTATCAAGTGAAGAAGCACTGTTCCAAGAACACATGTATTGATTGTCTTTTCTTTCTTACAATTGCTTTCTCTTTTAAACTTTCAGACCCTTATCACTATCACCTTCTGTTTGTTCCCTTTACCTATCATAATTGTTGTGAAATACTCTTGCCTTGGATTTCTATTTCAACGTTTTTGTTTTCAATTGCTTCAGGTCCAGGTCTGGCATTTGTGGTTTACCCAGAGGCCATCTCCTACTTACCAGTACCACAGTTATGGGGAGTCCTCTTTTTTGTTATGCTTTTTACCCTAGGGCTGGATACTCAGGTTTGCTTTTGTGAACATTATTGTGTGAATGTTTGAAATGAACTTTGTAAAGGGGACACTGAACTGTATAAAAATTTGCACTTTAGGGCGAGCCAAGTTTGAAATAATTGACAACTGAAAACTCTACAGGAACTAAATTGATAGCAAAGTTGTTGGAAAACTTGCTTTGATGTTTGGTAAAATCTTGTCCCTCTCTTTGATGCATCCAGTATCTCAATTTCAGTGGCCACGCTGTATTTAAAACTCGTTCATTGTATACTGCTTAGAAATTGAGACTTTTAAAAAACTGATGTTTGTAATGATTCTTATCCCATCAACACAATCTAAGATCTTTGAGAGTGCCAGCGCAACCAGTGTGGTAAATGTCCCTAGAATAGGTTAAAATACTGGATAGGATCTTATCCTTACTCTGGAGTTGGATTTACATATTTGTTCCCAAGTGGAAGAGCCTAACAAAAAGAAATATATCTCATATGCTTGTATTGTTTGTGCTAAAACCAACATGCTAGAATATTGTAAAATGATTCGTTGCTTGCAACATGATTAAGTGAAAGTTCAAAAGAATGAAAATATGTTTCAATTTCCAAGGGGTCATCACAAAACAGTAGAGCAAGAAGAGCAGCAAAAATTGCTCTATTAAGGGTTGTTTCACAAACTTGATAAACACCAAGATCTCTGTTGTACTCAACCCTGGCTTAGGTTACTTAATAATAAATGTTGAAGTCAGTCAATGTTGTAGGTTTGCATAATGTAGAAGAGAGAGATGAGTATGTGGTTTAGGTGCAAGTCTTTGCTTTATGTCAACTGTTTATTTTTCCTCTTACCTAACTAAGACTTAAATAATGGTGGTAAGGGTTCCTTTGGGAACTATAGGAAAGTTTTGAAAAATAAGATGAAGCTGGAAATGTTTCAATGCTTAACCTCTCAATAGAAAATAAAACTGCAAACAATAAGAAAGAATAGATAGCAGTGAATATGTGAATTACACAAATTGACACAAAAGTAGTGGAAAATGTGGGGATAAGAGGGAAGTCTAATTATTGTGATGTACTAGATCAAGGTTATTTAGAAATGTATGTTTATATTGGCTCACAAAACCTAAAGCAGCAACTGCATTTAATCCTGTATTATATTTTTTCTTCTTTCCAGTTTGTTATGTGCGAAACAATTCTCACTACAATTGGTGATCTATGGCCTCAGTTTGTAGGAAAATCTAAGGTCATTTTTAAAGTGGTTTTCCTGTTCATACTGTTCCTCATCAGCCTTCCATATGCTACAGAGGTGAGCACTTTCTTCTTCCAGATCAGATCTGTTTTCACTCTTTCTTTGTATTTCGAGCTGTACTTAAGTAATAGTCTGCTGGGGTAATAATATAACTCTACAGAGCTTTCTGTTGAGTGGGGATATGTTCTATGCAAATGCTATTTATTTCTTATATAACTAGATACTCATTCCCCACCTGAGTTAAGTGAGGGAAATTAGTGTAAAGTTCCTTCCCAAAGACACAACGTTGGATTGGATTCAAATTGACAACCTTACAGTTGCAAGTCAAGGAGCCTTTCCACTAGGTCTCTGACGCCACAAGTCCAGTTGTAGAAAGGGGAAAGATGTCTGTCTTTTCTTTTGGATTTAATATTATTGTAATTGGAGAATGATCATCGAGTTTTTTTTATTGGGGGGGGGGGGGCACTTTCACCAATGTTCAGTTGTGTTATTTATCATTGTGTGTTAGAAAAATTCGATTTAATTTTTCATATAATTAAATTGTTAGTTGGATGCTATGCATCCCTATCTTGTTAAAAAATCTTTACTGTACTCAGGGTGAATGGAATTTGAGTAGAGATGGGAGACTTGTAGAAATGGGCATGCCTCCCTTTTCAAGTCTTGTATGAATCTTCTTTAGTTTGAGGAAAGCTAAAGGGTCAGACATGATGTCAATACCACCACTAATCCACTGATGATATATAGGAATACCTCATTAATAATGATAATAATAATACATTATGATGGTGATAATGAATGTGGTATATGGCATAATGGGGCAGAGGGGAACTGTTGAAATGTGATTTGTAAGCTCTCTAAGGATGAAACGTGGCATTTGCTCAATCATTTGTTTGTTTGTCTGTCTGTCTCTATAACTCAAAGTTTCTTTGTATGTGACTGCTTACAATACATCAGTGCTTTGCCTTTGTTTAAAAAAAAAAAAAGAAGCATTTTACTGTTGTGTGTTTTTACAGGGTGGCATGTATCTGTTCCAACTGGTGGATTGGTACTTTGCCTCTTTTGCAATGGTTTTGGACGGACTACTGGAGCTAGTCGTGGTCAACTGGATCTATGGTGAGTGATCTCCACCTTTTCCCTTTTCTGTACTTGAGGTTTTTGTTTTTATTTTTTGTTACACACCACGGTGGACATCTTCCTATAGGTCATTATGAATGGCGAAGTCTTAGTTAGGCCTACTGTATTTACTAAAAGTACCAAGTGGAGTTTGAGCACACTCAGAAGAACTAGAATATTGTAGTTCTTGATTACAGCCAAAACTTTCAGCCTTTTGTTCGGAACAATAAGTCGCCAATAAATGAACATATACCTTTGATGAGATAAGGATAAGGAGACTAGAAAATGAAACGTTAAGCCAGCTTCCTTTTCCCAAACCTGTGTATGGTATTGATTTCTGGCCATGAAAGGCTAGACCAAGAGAGGCAGATTGGAAACTAAATTATTAAGGGGAGGAGCGACCCTTGATTTTACTGATTTTGGGTCAGGCTATGCCATGTAGTTTCCCTCTATTTTGTAGCAAGTCCTGGTGCTGCACGAAGTAATTAGAAATCTTTAAATCTTGTCAGATTGTGAGCATAGTGAGTTGTTAGTATTAAATATCGATAGATGTAGATAATGGGATATCCTGCAGATTCTAATTGATTTTGTCTCGAAATCTTAACTGTAACTACTAAGCCTATTGCCCCTTTGCTAACTTTCCAATTATGCACCACCTTGTCTGCATCTCACACAACACCACTGGTACCAATAACTCCACATGCCCAAAAATTTACCAGCACCTGATTCCACAGCATCATCTCTCTCTCTCTCTCTCTCTCTCTCTCTCTCTCTCTCTCTCTCCCTCCCTCTCTCCCTCCCCCCCCCCTCTCTCTCTCTCTCTCTCTCTCTTTCTCTCACTCTCTCTCTCTCACACACACACCCACACACACCCACACACACACTTATATATATATAATATACTATTATTTAGAAATTCATTATGATTTTGAGAGTCACTGATTAACATGTGCAGTCCTAGATTATTGAAACATGTGTAAATTCTTTGTCCAGATGCAATTTAACTTTTGTGGTTTTACACTTTAGGCTCTTCACGCTTTCTGGATGACATCAAGATGATGATTGGCTACCGACCACCCTATTTGTTTGTTGTATTCTGGAGGTTCATCACACCAGCTATTTTATTAGTAAGTTCAGCCACTGTGTGATGCTGTTTTGTTGCCATTTTTTAGTTAAAAAGTTGCCACAAAAAGTGGCAAAAGTTGCCAAAAAAGTTGACTTTAGTTTTCAAGCTTTCAACACTCTGTGACGATGTATATAGCAAAATGTTGATAAAGGTAACAATCTAAAGCACCAGAATTTCTTGTGCTCTGTTTTAAGCATCCGGAATATTATTTGTAGTTACCCAGAGTGTAAAAACGTGAAAAATAAAGGTTTCGCAATAGAATGAAATTAAAACTAAAACAACACATAAACAACCACAAAAATTAACAAATTAGGGCGCCTGTCCACCTATCCGAAGATTGGCTGTTTTAACCCTAAACGTGTGTAATTCAAGAAAAAGTAAGCCTACTGGATATTACATGTAAATTATGGAATCTCACACAATTTGGGCGTGCCAGTGTCAGTATTCGGTTTTGGTGGAGACACGCTCAAACATAACACATTTATATTTTTTAAATGGTAGGAACAGCATTAAATTAAATGACATTACGCTGTTTAAACACCAAAAAATAAAAATAAATCATCAAAACAATTTTTAGAAAAATTAAAACACAACAAAGAGGAAAAAATAAAAAACAAACTGCAATATGAATAGTATGTAATGTACTTATATTCTCCGCATGAAAATAGATACACATGGACATTTTAAAACTTATCAAAATACTGTAGAACCTGCCCTGGCGGCCACCTCTATAAGACGGCCACTTGTACAAATGGCCACTTTCCATTTCCCCCCTTGCGTTTTTTCTATATAATTTAACTGTGTAAAACGGGCACCTGTCCAACGCGGCCGCTGCCACCATATTTTAACGCACAGCAATAACACCTGTCTTAGATGGCCACCTTAGTGACTCTGTTACGTTTTGTCATTAATTATGCATTGTCCCCTGGCGTTGTGGGCGAGCCGTCATAATTCAATCACCTATCGTTGTTGTTAGGTAGTCCCTCCAACCGATCATGTTGCGAAGGCCCTTCCCACTGTTGAACAATAGGTACCAATTTCCAGCTGCTGGTGAGGGAAGCGTGTGATCCCTCATAACCCATAAGCCCCGCCCAGAACTCATACACAAATCGTAAGTGAGATAAGTGGTCACTGTGTACCCAGTCTGTAACAAAGTAACAATGGACGTCAACATGGACTTGTGACAGAAGCGTCGCTTGTTCTTCAAGTGGTGGTCACCCATATGTTTGTTTTCCCATAACACTCAGTCCTCCTTGTCTGACACATTTAGTTTTATTGTCACCTTTGCACAAAATCAGCAACAAAATAAAAATAGCCAACAAAATACAAACCAACAACAACAACAAAAACAACAATAATCTGCCTACTTTTGATTGGGAATGGGATTTGTTTTCTTCATCTTGATCAGTCATGCCTAAGACGGCCACCTGTCTTATACGGCCACTTTTCTCCTTGACAATTGGTGGCCGTCTTACACAGGTTTGACTGTACATGTCTATTATGCACCAAACGCAGATGCTACTTTAAAGAATTCTTCTGTGGTCACAATTATGACTAACAAGTAAGTCACAGCAGCAGGTGACCAGATGGGACTTTTTTCAAGTTTGTAGTGCTTTCTTTGTATTTTTTCATTTTATGTCAACTGCTGTGAGTTATCCTTGCTCCTGATAAATATTGTGACCGATGGCCTGCCAAAGCCTTAACGAATTCTTTTCTTGAGAACCCATTTCTTTCCACTGCACAGTTTCAGATCAAAATGTAAAAGTCTCTTATACAATATCCTTGTTCTTTTACAGACGGTGTTTGTGAGTACTTTGATGAGTTATGGACCTCCTGTTTATCACGGCTACCACTATGACTCTGTGGGAATTGGACTTGGAAAATTTATAGCCTGTGTTCCACTTATTCCTATTCCAGCGTATGCTGCATACCTTTTCATAAAGACCCCTGGTACTTTCATACAGGTTGGTAACTTTAGAGATAGTTGGCTTTGTCATTGTACTGAGGGTCCTTTTTAGTGTGAAAAGAAAGCATGTGTATAGTGACTTGGAAAAAAATCTCTTCACTGAAAACTTACATCAATAAAGTTAACATAAGAAGTAGAATTTATGAATTGAGCTAACATGTAGCTTTCTTGTGGAGAAACAGGCTTGCCCCATATTCTTATTTTTTGTTTTGTTTTGGACACAAGATTGTGATAATAAAATGTATGAGAGAAGGTGACGGAGGACTTTGATGCAGCTGCAAAAGCTTGATCCTTTGTCATTTGAAGTCTGTTAAAAGCAGTGTATATAGTGCTCTTGGTAATTATTTCAGAGATTCTTACTTTTATCGCTGGTTGTGAAATTAAGTGTTCTGCTAGGCAAACAAGAAAATGATTTTAAATCAATTTGAGGAAAGACATAGATCTATTATGTACGTTACTTTGATTGTTGTGCAAAAAGAAAGGTTTGAAAAAAAAAGCATTTACAAAACCCTCTGACTCTTGTATTTGAATCATTTTAACTCTTTTTGTCCTGCCCCCACGGACTCTGTGCCCGTCCTGGGGCTGTAACAGCACAGGAATTAGAATTCAAGGTGTTTATTTCGAAGTGCTGTATTTCTTACATTTTACTCTTATATTTTAAGGAAATTTGGCAGTTATGTTAAAAATTGAATGTAGAATCTGAAAATGTATGTGGTTAGGGATTTCACCAATTGCACCATGTAGATTCTGAGGTGTATTCCACCCTCCAACTTGACCCTGATTGTCAGGCATACGACGTCCCCTTTGATTTACAGATCTATCCCTACCCATAGATACTGCATGAATTCCAGTACTGGTCCCTTCACCATGATCTGAATCACTATTAGATGAGTCCAACTCCTGTTCGTTGTCATCCACAACAGAATTTACAGCTTTTGATTTAGAGCCACTTTTTTCAAATTAGTCTAATTCTACCTCACAACCCAGCACCACTTCTTGAAATACTTCGTCGGTCGTGAACAAGTGTTTTCGAGACGTATTTCAAGCTTCTAGGCCCATCAAAAACGAGAAGAAACCACTGTTCATTGGAAAATAGAAATATTCAGACTGGGCTATCATCACCATATTTATTTGTGTATTTTGGTAATTACAAGCAGAACTAGCTCTTTGATGTGACTGTATAGCTGTTTCGAGTTAACTCATAGCCTGGCCTAGTCCTCGGTTCGAGTATACTCTTAGCCTGGATAAAAAGAGTTAATATCAAAATACTAGCCTGTAATTTATAGTTACTAAATCTTTGCTTAATTTATTTTGACATACTCTTCATGTTTCAAAGTGAACAGAAAAGAGGAAAGAAGGGAAAGGACTTTTTAAAGATTTATTCACAAGTCAGTGTTAGCCCTGCAGTTTAAAATTTCTTCTTTCTTTATCTACAGCGCCTGAAGACAACATTATCTCCATCCAGCCAATGGCAACCAGCAGACAAACGACTGAGAAGTGGGAAAAACTGAGACCGTTAAGCTTCTCTGGATTAGCTAAAAAACATCTGGGGTTGAGCACATTTCAATTTCTCATTTTTTAGCTTGTGTTGGTAGCTGTAATTTCTATTGCTGATTGTTTACATTTTGTAGCTCAGATTCTTTCTGTATTATGTTCCCCTTTAATGTGACTGTGTTCTTATGCCATAATTTATGTGCATGAAGAAATTCATGATTTTTGTTTCCGGACTGATTTTAGCATCCTTTAAAGCTACCGGGGGTTGAAGCCTTAGCTCGGTCTGATGTTGGGTCCTTGGGGAATGGCACTTTACACTTGGCTCGGTCCTTTCAGAGATGAACATTGAACTCGGAGGTCCCACCTCTTAAATAACCTATTAGTGTTGATAAGGGTATTAAACTCATACCATTTCACTATTTTTCTCTAACGCCACCTTAAAACTTAAAATAGGCAGCACTTCATTTTCATATATTTAGGAGCATAAATAATGAGGTCTTCTGTTTGTTTCGGGGGACATATTTTTATGATAATTAAAGCGGACACCTGAATAAAATAATTTCCCAAGCTTAATCTGACACAGTCTGTGAAATGTTAAAAATGTTTCTGGTTACATGAAAGAGATTGAATCATATTCTGATATGTTACAAGGAAAAATTCTTTGATCTACAGTTGAACCTACCAAAATGGTAATCTGTCCTGTCCGAGATGGAAAACTGTCATAACAGAATCTCTCCCCCCCCCCCCCCCCTTCCACCTTTGACAGGATCAGTATCAGTTCCTCTAAATGTATCTGTCTAACATAGAAACCCTCACAATCTAGAAACAGACAGAGGAGTTTCTTCTTTTTGGAGGATTTTTGCTTGTCAAAGGTGGAGAATGCTTTGCCTGCTTTTATAATGGCTTTCCAGCTGGTCCTTCTGGGTTTTTTTTTAGGGCATAGTTTTACTTGGCTACAATTGTTTTTTGTAAGATATATTTTCCATCCTAGTAACTCAAGTACTGATGATCAGAATGCATTGACACCAGGCACAAGGATACTTGATACCAGAGGTGAAAAAAAGTTTTCAAAATTACTTAAAAAAAAATATTACTTCCCTTTCCTGGGAGAATTAGTTAAGTGTTAACCCCTTTTTTGAATGGGGGTGGGCATTCCTGCGCTGTCAGTGCTGATTTTCAGCAAAGTTCATTGGTCAGGGCAGCAGTTTCATGTCTCAGTGGACTCAATGTCTAGATTTGACATACTCATGACGAATTCTGACCCCAGGTCTTTGATTGTGTCACTTTCCTCGTTCCTTATACATCCCCCATCTTACCCTTAATTTTGAAAAGCATGCAAATCTAAGTCAAAAAGTGAAATTTGCTTCCTTTTTAAAGTCATCTTGACATTTTGTGAGAACTCGCGTGTGTGTATTTATTGATCACATGCAAGCCAAGCAGTCTACTAGCAAATTATAACAGTTATATGCGCATTTTTTATTACCAAATAAGAATCCATGCTGTGCTTGTGGCTTAATCTCTAAACAGAAGACTGAAAGCCAGATGATTAGCGAAATGTGATGAAACGTCTTATAGGCAACCAGGATTGGCAAATTTTGTCAACTTCTGAGATGTCCATGGTATGGCACAAAGCTAAAAGTCATGCATTTTCGAGATATAAAAACTAAGAGAAAACAACATTTCATTTATAGCCATATGATATTATGTATTCTGTCAAACCTGGATAAAACGGCCACCCATGTCATGGAGAAAAGTGGCCGTATAACACAGGTGGCTGTCTTAGGCAGGACTGATCAAAATGAAGAAAGGAAATCATTCTCTACTGTCGAGGTCCAAGCCTAGACTTATCTCAAGCTTTAGACTCCCGTAAGGCTAATTTAAAAGCGTTTTTATTTTCTTTTGAAAAAGGGGGGCTGGGTTGTGTAAGTTTTTTTTTGTGTTGCGGTTTTGTTGGTTTGGTTTTTTTGGGTTAGTTTTCTTTTTGTTGCTGACTTTGTGCAAGGGTAAAGTAAACAAAATATTATGTAAGTAGGACGATGAAGACTGATGGTAAAACAAACATGCGGATCGTCACCACTCAGATAGTGAGCGATGCTTGTGTTGCAAGTTCACGTCAAAGTCCATTTTGTTACTTTGTTACAGATCAGGTAAACAAAACAGTGACCAGTCACCTCGCACACGATTTGTCCATGAATTGTGGGCGGGGCTTATAGGTTATGATGGATCATGCTACCCTCACCAGCAGTTAAAAATTTATCGTTAGGCCTATCCATTGGTCAACTTGGGTTAACATTCTTTTGAGGGACTGGGCCAATTAAATTTTTTTGGCAAAGCGTTGGGTAATGAGTGACCACGCCTGGCCGTCTGAGGCAGGTAAATTTGACTGCTGGTTGGTAAAATAAGGTGGCCGCGGCCGTGTTGGACAGGTGTTAAATTATATTATAGAAAAAACTCAAGGGGGGAAATGGAAAGTGGTCATTTGTACAGGTGATTGTATTATACAGGTGGCTGTTATGGCAGGTTTGACTGTATGTAAAAATCCCGAGAAAGAAAGTGCCCTAGCATATACATCTGTTTGTTACGTTTAAATATTCTTTTTAGCTTTGGAACACAGTAAACTACTTGATCTGCTCGCTCATGTTATGCAGTTGCGAGTACCGTAAAACTCTTTTTTTTAAAAACAACAAAAAACTAAAAAGCAAAAAAACTGTATGATCCTTGTTTAAATATATTGTGAGATAAGTTATTACCTGTCGTGCAGATGCTATTTTTGAAATTGAAGTTCAGGAAGCAATATCCTCCCAACAACTAGAAGACTGATAGTGACATTTGTGAAACTTTGTTGAAGAAAATCCTTCCTCACCAGGTGTTGCAGTATCCATGATAAGTTATAAATGGTCACAAAATCTTTCTCTAGTTAAAGAAACAGTCTTGTGGGCTAGTTTTATCGTTAGTGCGAAGTGCTACTTTATAAAGTTAGTGTTTTTTTAATCTGTTCATTCATTTTTATCTATTATTGTGTTGAAAGATAGAATGTATCCCAAGTAATGATGAACACAATACATCACAAGGTATCATTTTGAAGCTCCTTCTTCGATATTTTGCTGAGTAACCCAACAGTACTCTTTACTGAAAATGACTTAGGTTATCAAATTCTGATATTTTAAAACTGGTTTTTCCATAATATCTGACTCACCCGTAAGTTGACTTATAATATATAGCCTATGGTTGAGTTATCTTAGCCAACTTTGACAGACTGTACTCTAGTTCATTGATCCTACTTTCAAATCCATACATATTACTTGTCAAGCTTTAAGCTTTTCTACATGAAACTGTGTTTATAAAGTAGTTCTTTCCTATTTGTGCCACTTTATTTGGAATTTATTATAGCATTTAGGATATGTTCCTGCTTTTTTCAGCTTTGATAATTGTTATTATTTTTGGAAGCAGCCAAAAAACTAACGAACTTTGCAAGAGCTTGATGTCACAATGAAATACATCTCAATTTTTAAAAAAATCAAAGCTTTTCAGCATCGAGAAGTGCCTGTGATCACAGCATGAAATCACAGTAGCCGTTAAGATTTGAATACTTTCATGATTGTAAATCGTTTATGATTTCATCAATGCAGCTTAGTTTGGGAGGTGGGTTGCCTCAGCCCCGCTTGTCAAGGTTGACCAAAGCAGTGCTATAAGGCATACATTCTAGCGTTCTCCTGCTAGTTCTCAGGGGTAGTTTACTGTTGGTTCCTCAACCTGAGGTGCATTTGATTTTTACGCATGTGAATGTTTTTCCAACTTGATAGGCCCTTTGCCTTCAGGCAGCCACCTTGTGATTTCAAAGGTACTAACTAGAATCTAGAGCATTTTTACAATTTTGGTAGGAAATAATTTTGAATTTTGCTCAGGTGACGGTCAAAGCTTACTCTTATTGGTTTTAGGACCACCAAGGGATTTTCAATGTGCACAACTTGCATTCGAGACCTCTGAGATTGTTCACCCCTATCTGAGAAGGCTGGGTGTTCCGTCTTACCTACCCAAAGACCAGGGATGTAGCTAAAAGATGGCAGTAAGAAGGAGACACGAGAAGAGTCAGAAGTAAAGGAGAGAGGAGCCCGTTTCCAGGGATGGACGAAGGGAGGGGGGGAGATTTGGAAGTTGACATGAAAGCATTTGACAGAACATGTCTAAAGAACAAGAAAGAAGGGTAGAGGAGAAAATTCTAGAGAAAACAATTTTTTTGGTCAATCTCAGATTTCGAACCTGCCTATCGAATGAGAGGTGAACACCCTACCTCTTGGTCATGAAAATCCCGTACAGAAAGCAGTAATGATCGATAAGATATTTTCCAGACACTGGAATCGAACACACAACTTTTCCCCACTCAACGAAACGCCTGATCATTACATCCCAGATACTGGTAGGGCCTAAACCATGATAAAGTTGCCCTTCCCATTCTAGCGTTTCTAGAGATACCGGTAATAGAAATGAAACGGAGTTCTCAGAAGTGAACTGGACACAAATTAATTAATTCAACAGATTTGTCTGAAATGACATGCTCCACTCATTAAAGGATACTTGGTTACTTTTGTTGAGAAATAAATAATCATGATAATTGAGCAAAGCGACAAGCTGCCTCTTTAATTTTTTGTTTTTTAAATATTTCAACTTTTCAGTTTCAAAATAGGCTGCTGTATATTATGTTATTTTCATTGAGGTTTTTGAATATGTCACACCATGCTTGTATGCTTTATATTAAAGCTTTCATATGATTGCCTGCGAGTAGCTTTTACGTACAATTTAAGGTGGCTGTGGAACAGTCTTTTGGTGTTTTTCAACCTAATATTTCTTAAATGGTGTTGGGGAGTGTGAAGAATTTTCCTTATTATGATTGCATAATGTTAGTCTGTAAAACTCTGTCATCTGACATTTTCTTTCTTCTTTTTTATGTTCCACTATTAGATCTTAGGGGTAGTTGACTATTGGTTACTTCAAACTGCAGTGCCACTGATTTTTATGTGTATGTGACAATTGTTTTTACTTCGAAGGGTCTCTTCCCTTCAGGCATCTACATTCTGATTTTAAAGGTCCTATTATTTTTTTTATTGACTAGAGTATTTTTAGTTTTAGTTGGAATTAATTTTGAATCAGGGGAACGGCTGAAAGACAGCAGTAAGTACGAACCTGGAATAGAGGGGAAAAAAGTTTGGAGTAACATAGAGAGGAGCACAGAGGGGCAGGGGGAGCGGGGTGGTGGTGTAGAGAAAGTGGAGATAAAAGCAGGTCTTCAGGAAATCACTCAAAACTGTATTTCACCTCAGGCTACATCACAAAATGTGTCTGTCTCAGTTATGTATCTTCATAAATCATTTTGTTTTATTGTGAGTTTTAAAATTGTTGTTTTATACCTCTAGATCATCATGTTACCTCATGACTATTGTAGAAACAAAGAGTTGAAAATAAACACTTGCTGTGAAGTTCTACAAAGATAAATGTCTTTTATCAATTTTCTGTAGACAATCAACTTCGTTCACACTGACTTCTTCTTACTGTGATTTCATAGTTAGAGTTCTAGAATGTATAGTATGGTTGGTAGAGGAAATTGTCAACCTACAGTGCTGTTGTTCATAACATAGATTCTAATTATGAGGCCTATTTTCACTACCAAAGTATTGTGCCCATAGCCTTTGAGATACCCTTGTCTGCAGATGGACACTAGTAGGCCAACATGTTTACTGAATATGTGTAAGGGGAGATTATCAAAAGTGTTTTAACTTGTGTGTAAAAGTGTTCTTTCTTTTTTTTTTTTTAGGCCTAAGTGTTTTACGCCGCTCGCAACTGCATAAGGTCATATGAGAGCGCGGGACACATTAAACTTTTCCAGTTGGTAGGAAATTTTGAATTTTGCCCGGGTGGCGGCGGAAGCCTACTCTTATTTATTGATTTTTAGACCACCAGGGATCTTTAACGTGCGCAATTTGCACACGGGCCTTCCGAGATTTTTTGGCCTTGTCCTAGAAGGCTAGGTGTAGATCTTTCCTCCCAGAAGATCAGGGATGTGGCTGAAAGACAGCAG